GATCTGTACGAGGGCCGCCTCAAAAAGACTGAAGGTGCGGAGGCCATCCGTCTGAGATGGTACGGTGGGATGCAGAGCGAGAACATCTTTGTTGAGCGCAAGACCCATCGAGAGGATTGGACCGGAGAGAAGTCGGTCAAGGCGCGATTCTCCGTCAAGGAGAAGAATGTCAACTCGTACATGCGCGGTGAGCTGCTGCCCGCCGCCCTCTTTGAGAAGGCGCGCAAGGAGGGCAAGAAGCCCGAAAAGCAGATTGCTGAGGATGAGAGACTCGCGAAGGAGGTGCAGTACTCGGTGCTCAAGAAGGGCTACAAGCCTGTGTGCCGATCTTTTTACAACCGCACCGCTTTCCAGCTCCCTGCCGATGCTCGAGTTCGTATCTCGCTGGACACCGAGTTGACCATGGTCCGCGAGGACAACCTGGACGGCCGCAAGAGGTCCGGCGACAACTGGAGGCGCATGGACATTGGCATTGACTACCCATTCTCGCAACTGCCCCCGGAAGACATCGTCCGCTTCCCGTACGCTGTTCTTGAGGTCAAGCTCCAGACTCAACTCGGCCAGGAACCCCCTGAGTGGGTTCGTCAGCTCATCTCCAGCCATCTCGTCGAGGCTGTTCCCAAGTTCTCCAAGTTCATTCACGGAGTCGCCAGCCTTTTCCCTGACCGCATCAACCTGCTTCCATTCTGGATGCCGCAGATGGATGTGGATATCCGGAAGCCGGTCACACACGACTTTGGCATCCACAGACCGAACCCTTCCACGACGACTACAACATCGGACGATGAAGATGACGAGTTGGACTCTGACGACGAGGAAGGTCCCTTGGCTTCCGGCAGCAACGGAGCCAGAAATGGGCAGTCCAACGGTCACGGCGCTGCCAGCAACGGAGGGAACGGCCTCGACGTCGAAGGCCAGACCGTTGACGCTATTGCCCCAGTCGACGACGATGATTTCTTATACGACTCGGACGAGGAATACGATGCCGACGAGGCCCTCGAAGAAGCTAGGAGAGTTGGTGGCTGGACGTACTACTCGGCGCTCGCCTCCAAGAAAGCACGCGCTCTTAGCGAAGGTGCCGTGAATGTACTCAAGTGGGCTGTACCACATCCTCGCGGTTCAGAGATCCCCCGTCGCGAAATGCAGACGCAGCTTTTTGGTTCGGGGCAAATCCAGACAAAGAGATTCAAAGCCCCCAAGGGAAAGAAGATCTATGTTCCAGTCCGTATCGAGCCCAAGGTTTACTTTGCAGCTGAAAGAACCTTCCTTGGATGGGTGAGTTTACTACCCTTCTACTCTTCGTGGATATCATTGAACCTGTGTCGCTAACATGACGAAAACAGCTTGAGTACTCCATCTATGTCGGTACAGTTGCCGTCACGCTGCTCAACTTTGGGTCCAAGCCCACTACGGCATCCTTCATCGTCGCCGGCGTCTTCACCCTACTTGCCATCATGTCGCTCTGCTACTCTGTCATCATCTACCTGTACAGGAGCAATGCCATCCGCTCGCGGAGGGCCGCCAAGTTCTACGACAAGTGGGGCCCCAGTGCTCTCTGCGTCTCCCTGTTCATCGCCGTCGTACTTAACTTTGCATTTGAGGGCCGGGAGCGCAAGTACTGGTGAGGAAAAGATTCTGTAGGTCCGGGTTAATGGCATGTCGGAGAAAGGGCGAGAATGATGTTTCCTTTGTTTTGTAGCATTTATGTACATTCCATAACGGTGTAAATAACTATGATAAGAAATCAAAAGGTGCTGAATAATTATCTTCCACGTGGTCTTCCCCAATTGTTTCTTGCATGGAGTCAAAGGGAGACAGCTAGCTGGATGATGATCTGAAGTGCTCCTTCCATACACTCATTCTGTCAAGCAACATGCTTGACTTGTTTTACACCTGCCCTTCCTTTACTGGCATCCTTGTTGGTGTTGTTCCTTGCATGATATGTTCCAGAAATCAGAACGTTTAGACGCTGGAAGAACCCGTAGTGATGCTTGTCAGCATATACAACGAATTAAAATAGGAAGACCAAAGCCAGTTCATAAAAAGGAGGTCTAGCCTCACAACATCTCTGCAGTTGACGTATTACCCTTGTGCACGTATGTGCACCCAGATTTGCAGAAGATATCAAACAAACTAAAGAGGAAGGAAAAGATCGCCGCTAGATAAGGTGTTTTTTTTTTTCATTGACATTCCTGCTGCTGCCTTCCATTATGGGGATTGACATCCTTTCTTTAGCGACTTGCTATAAACAGCATCGATCTGACGATGTCTGATACCATGCTTCTGTGAGTGTAGGCGAACGAAGGCTCCGATATTGGTGGTACAGAATGGTTCCTCTATCCCGCAGCACTAAAGAATATACAACCAGACCATGTGAATTCGTGAAATGAAAACAGTAGGTGTACAACAATAATGGATAGGTGAAAAGAGCAGGTCTTTGCATCGCACCCTGCTTCGTTCTAGTGCTCACCTTATGGAAGCAAGCCACACCTCAGCTGTAAGAGCCGCGAGACGCCCCCCACTAGCCAAATGTGTATATAATATTCTGCAAACATCATAGACTTCGACCCTAGATTGAGCACGATGCAGAAAGAGAACAGTCCACAGTCCCTCCCCACGTCGCTAGCGTATTCAACGTCAATCCCGACTTTGTCAGTCGGATGCTACGATGCTTGCCTCTTTAGGTAAATATTACCGTTCAGACAGCCGCAGTGAGCTTTGGTTGTTCTAGAACCCCTCAAGACCCGAAGCCACGGTTGAGGAATATGGGGCAAAGCTTGACAAGCTTTGGAGGCTGGAAACGGGCGTTGGGGCTGATGCGAAACTTATCCAAGAAGGGCATTTTAGCGGCTGAGAGAGAGCGGCTGAGAGAGAATCCCCAGTGGCTGCAGACGGCCAGAAAAGAGAGAGTGAGGGGCCTCTTGAACGCCAAGTAGACAACATAGGGGAGACGAAGGTCCATTATTTAAGGCGCTTGACCCTCAATGATCTTGAACCCAGAACATAGACGATCTTAAAGTTCTTGGCTGCAGCTCCGCGCCTCACTTACAGCGGTTGCACCCATTTCGTGCTGTGAAAGTCGACCATGCCAGTTCTGAAGCCATCCGCTGAATGGGGTCACTGCGTGCCCCCAGAGTCAACCTATGGCATCACAACCTATGGGCCGGGCTGGGATACGGCAATCAAGCTCCGCGATGGTGACCCGGCCACCATAGCCCGCGTAGTACACATATATCCTAGATTCGGCCCCTTCGGGCCCGTTGCCAAGGTCAGTCATACTACTCGTCCGCTCTGATCCTTACGCATACACCTCACTTCTCTGCAACAGCCCGAGACATTACTGACGATGTATCCAAGACTCTCATGGCCATCTGCGCCAAAATCCAGACCCCTGAAGGCCATGGTGCACTCTACTTCACCTCTCCCGCCTCCTTCGCCGCAGCGCGCGCCCATGCCCTCCATCCTCACCGCAAGCAGCACATCCTGGCCGACGAAGACCTGGGTTACCGGTGCGTCGACATCGGCGACGTGAGGCTGTACCTCATTACGTATCCCATGCCCAAAACGCCCGGCATCATCGGTGTCTGGCAGAACCCCGGCATCGGGGTCTCCATCCGTCTGGCGGAGAAGCTGCTGCGGGACATTGACTCTCTCAAAGAAGTCGTTGTGGAGGCGGGTTTGCCGCCTCCCCCGACAGACTATCTCCCCGAAGGCGAGGCGCATGGAAAGCTCAAGGAACGAATAGCGGCGCTCCTGCACAGAGCCGCCATCGACCCCGACAAAGTCAAGGTTGGGAGCAGAGATGTCTTCCTATACCCTACCGGGATGGCTGCCATCTTCGCCGCGCACAGGGCCATGCTCGAGTATCGGCCCGGCGCCGTTGCGATTCTAGGCGTTGCTTTCCACAGCACCGTGCACTACCTCCAAGAGTCCTCGCCGTATGGTTACAAGCACTTCGGGCCGGTTAACGCAAAGGGTCTGGACGATTTCGAGACCTGGCTCGACGATGAGGCTGCTGCCGGGATGGATGTGAGTTACATCATCACCGAGTTCCCCAGCAACCCCTTGCTCGCAAGCATTGATATCGGACGTCTCAAGAAACTCGTAAGTGATCGCCTCTCAGCGAATGCCAAAGGTTCCTTGGACTCGCCCACTAACTGACAGCCTGAAGGCCGAGAAGCACAAGTTCATACTCGTTCTTGACGACACCCTCGCATCTTTTGCCAACATCGACATCCTGGGGGAATCTGACATACTCGTCTCTTCCCTCACGAAGTCTTTTTCGGGGTACGCAAATGTCCTGGGAGGCAGCATCGTCCTAAACCCGCTCTCTCCACACTACTCCGCCCTCGCACCCCTTTGGCGCGAACAACACCACAACGAACTCTACATCGAGGACGCCGAGGTCCTGCTCGCCAACTCGGAGGACTACCTCCAACGCACTGCAGTCCTCAACCGCAACGCCGCCGCCATGGCCAACCACCTCCACGCGCACGCCAAGAGTCCCTCGTCCCCCATCGCCAAGGTTCTCTACCCGACCCTCCTCCCGGACTACGAGGTCTACGAGGCTCGCCTTCGCAAGCCGACCCCCGACCTCCCGGAGCCTGGCGCGGGGTGCCTCCTGAGCATCGACTTCGAGTCCGTCGCCACGGCGCGCGCGTTCTATGACCGATTGGCGTTCTATCCCGGTCCCCACCTCGGAGCCCATCGCACGCTCAGCTTTGCGTACAACCTGCTCGCGTTCGGGAAGGACCCGGACGAGGCGGCGTACCATCGGTCGTACGGCATCCTGGAGGAGGCGGTGCGCATCTCGGCGGGCCTAGAGGACGTGCAGGACCTGCTGGATACGTTGGATGACGCGCTGACCGTTGCTCAGGAAACGAAGGACAAGTTAGCGGAGGGTCCGCGGACGGTGGAGGCTGCTGCTGGGTTGGGCGTGGCCGCTTGACGATGGATGGCGTGACTTTGACTGCGGAGAGTAGAGGCATTGGAAAAAAAAAGTAAACCAGTCGGTCAACTAAAAGTTTGTCAAGAATGCAGAGCAACATCTCCTAGAGGACCCGCCAAAGTCTGGACGCTTTAAAGCAGGAACGACAACCATCCTATCTTGATGTGAGCGAGGTAAATGGCCCTGAGCAAAAGCCCAGTATCCAGTCACGCACATCGTTGTTCTCAAGTATTATAAAATCCATACATTGACTTGGCATTCACCCATGTTGGCATGATGAGACCATCTACGCCCAGGGATTTTTATACTGAATGGACACCGATACGAGGCAGTCAAGGAGATTGGGAATCCATTCCATTAAAGCCCCCCGAATTGGTGAAGTAGAGCATTAAAAGCAGAAATAGACTATAGAATACCAACGCTGACGTTTCCTTTTCTTACCCTATAGGTTTCGAACATCACACCTTCCACGTAAATTCATTCGGATTGCCGCCCTATCCTGTATCCACACGCACCATCTCTTACACAACAGCCGTGACTCTTCTCACGCTTCTCCTCGCGCCTTCACCACTGATCATGATCAGGCCCTCCATCTCCAAGGTCCGCATTGTCTCATTGAAGTCGTTCTGTTCCACAGGCATGCTCGCACCCTCGCTCAATCTTCTAGCGACCTCGCTCCACCTGACAGTTTGACCGTTGCTAGTCATCTCATCGAGTAGGTGAAGCACGGCCCCCTTGATCTCCTCCTTCTTGCGGCGGTCGGCAGCGCTGGTGCCTTCTGTCAGCAGACTCATGTCGATGCGACCCTGGGCGTCGGTGGCGGCAGTCTTAAGAGCAGAGCGGATCAGACGGGCGGCCTCCTTGACGTCCTCGCGAACGACGGTCGTGGACAAACGCATCTTGGCGTGGGCCTCGGACAGACGGATCATGGACTCAAGTTGACGAGTGGTGGCTGTGATGCGCTTCTCAGCCGCACGAACATCCTGACCAAGCTTGCGCATCTCGAGGTACTGGTCAACCAGTTCCTGGGCAGCATTCTGTGCAATGGTCGGGTGGATGTTGGCACGAGCAAAGGATATATAGTTGGTGAGGAACTCGACGGGCTACGAAGTGGTCAGCGAGCGTCGAACAGGTTTGGGCCATAGCCTACTTACGAGAATGTCTTCCTTAGTGTGAGCAGACTCTGGCTTGTCTTCCAGATACAGAGAGAGGAGATGGCGAGCAAGACGAGCATCACTCTTCTCATCAGCGCGATCAAGGATAAGATAGACCAGATCGAAACGCGAGAGCAGAGTGGGGGGGAGATCAATGTTCTGAGGTACGGGGAGATCCGGGTTGTAACGACTGCCGATAGGGTTGGCAGAAGCCAGAATACTCGTCCGGGCGTTAAGAGTGGTGATGATGCCCGCCTTGGCAACAGACACCGTCTGCTGCTCCATGACTTCGTGAAGAACAGAGCGTGTAGCCTCTGACATCTTGTCGAACTCGTCGATGCAGCAAACACCGCCGTCGGACAGAACCAGGGCACCGGACTCGAGCACCAGCTGGCGGGTTTCGGGGTCTCGCGTGACATACGCAGTCAAACCGACGGCGGAAGAACCCTTACCGCTGGTGTATACACCACGGGGGGCAATCTTGTGCACATAAGAGAGGATCTGAGACTTTGACGTCGACGGATCACCGCAGAGCAGGACGTTGATATCTCCTCTGTATCTGGGGCTGCCACCCTTGGAGAACGTCTTGTTTGTGCCGCCGAAAAGTTGCAAAAGAATACCCTTCTTCACGTCATCCATCTCGTAAATCGAGGGAGCGAGGGAGCGTGAGAGAAGGTCATAAATGTCTGGCCTGGCCGCAGTCTCTCTGATCTTCTCTTCCTCTTCAGGACTGATCTTTTTGGTCTCCTCAATGTTGTTGTCGCCGCCCTCGTCTTCTTCACCCTCAATGCCGAGGGTGGAAGGGTCAACGCCCATCCTCTTCTTGTCCACCTTTTGAACGTGCAAGACGTCTACGTACGTCTTGTACACGCTTTTGATAGTTCTCTGACGCGGGTTCACGCGCACAGGGCTGACGCGGAAGATACCCGTAAGCTGGACTCTGTCACCAGCCTTGCAGAAGTCCACCAGCTCGTTGTACACGCAGACTGAGACCGAGTGGGGTGTTTGACCAGCAGGAACAGCGTCCGGAGTTTCTTGGAGCTTGATCACCTGCTTATCTTCGAACGCGCAACGGTTGTGAATGATCTGCATCGAGTTCTTGGAGGCACAGCGAGGTCGCGGGCACTCGGTGGGCTCGCGGATTTTGCCTCTGTCAAGACTAACGTTGACTGAGTGGTTGCAAACGTTGCACCGGAAGAAAGCTTCCTTCATATCAGGAATAACTGGCGTAGTACGGATGACAAGACCCTTGATAGTGATGAGCCTATCCATGTCGGAGGGGTTCAGATCACGGAGGTTGGTTGTCTTGTCTAACCCGAAAGGCCGAACCATGTAAATCATCTGAGCAACCTCATCCTCCTTTGATGGGACATCGGTAGCCGGTCGCGGGGTCGGGGCATCAGAACCTGGGTGGTCGGAGCTAGGGAAAGCAACGTCCGAGCTAGGAGCTGCGTTGCTTCGTCTGGCAGCATCACCAGCACTGCTCTGGGATGCACGTTGTCTTTGGCCTTCGTTCCTAGCCAGCTCAACCATCAAATCGTGGACAGACTGGTCCATAATGGGAATGATTTCTTGTGGGTATGCCTGGATGTGGTACCAGAGCTTTCGCGTCGGCGGGTAGGTATTCAGATCGGCGATATCGAGGTAAAGCCTGGTTGTGCCCAAAAGAAGCATGTTTTCGAGAGCCTCCATGTATGGTTTAGACTCGGCATCGGGGGCAGCCTGGACGTCTGCCTCGGACCAACCATCTCTGTACAGTTGGTATTTCCTGGTGAAGTGCCTCAAGAAATCCTTGAAAGAGGCGAAAGTGTCGTCGATCGATACGGTAGTACCCCAAATGGTGCTCTCACCCGCTCCACCGAGGCGGTCGGCCTCCGAAGTGTTTGGGTCGGGGTTACTGAATGAAGGGGCGTCGGAGCCCGGCGCATCGGTAGTTACTCTGCCGGATGGGTCCAAAACAAGGCGGCGACGGGGGGTTCTGACGCCTTCCGAGTTAATATCACCTCTACGGGAACGTGATGAGCGATCAGTGACGAAAAGACCACTACTCTCACTGCGGAAGTCCGATTGCAGTGGCCGCACGGATCGACCTGGGCTAGAACTGGCCTCGTATCGAATGGGCGACGATTCTAAAGGTTTCTGTTAGTAACGGTACTATGCAGTATGCATTCACCATGCTTACCTCTTGCCAAACCACTCGCACGGGGGGTTCTGTCGCCATCACCAGTGGATTGTGTGTCAATGTCTTGACGCAGCGGTGAGCTGGGAGCAGGGCCAACGACGGTGCTCTGGCTGTTGCTCATGTTTCGCAAGGGCGACGAGACATCGCCGTTGGCGGGCGCATCGCGGCGACCACTGGGTGTCTGCGCTGGCGAAGATTCATAGAAGAGGGGGCTCGACGCAAGCTGCGAGCGGCGGCTAGTACGAGGGGTCTCTGCTGGGCGTTGCGCCTCTCCGTCTGCGGGCGCGGGGCTGCTGCGTGCAGCTGCATCTGGATTGTTTCTTGTTGACCGGCGGGGCGTACCAGCCGTCGAGCTTCTTGTTGACCTCTTTGAAGGTGAAGACATATTGCTGGTGGGCGTTCTTTTGTTGGGGCTTTCTTGCGGTTGTGATCGAACTGGAAGAGGGGGGGTAATGGCCAGCGGGATGCGACAAGAAAGAATATGTTGCGTTGCTGGGGGGAGGAGAGATATGTGGAGAGCCCCTTGGGAGCAACTGGAAGGTGGGCTGCAATGCAATTTTGGAAAGCCACTTTACGCGGTTGGCCCGGTCCCCAACGCGTCCCGAAAAGGAGTTTCGCGTTTTCCACTTTACGCGTGGTGGGAAAGGGCATGGCCCGTGCATGTGGGTCTAAGGTGCCAGGGGTGAACCCCTGTGCATCCGGCCATCGGCGAAACCACCGACCGACTTGCACCGATTTTGGGTTGCTGAGGTGGTCAATTGACATCCCGCCAGAGAGCTCCCTGCCAGGTTACCGTGGACTAAAGTGGACAACATATCAGCCAACCCACCAGCAAGCGCAATCCGGCGCAACACCTCGCGAACAACCGTTAAGATGGCTCCTGGAATGTCCCTGTTTTCTGTCAACGCGATCCTAATCCTCAGCATCGAGGACGGGTCGCGGTTATTCTCCAAGTACTATAGCGCACCCCACGCCGGCTCCGCGACACAGAACGGTATGCCCTTACTCTCCGGCTCTCTTTTGGTGCCCGACTCTGGAACACATGGCTGACGGGCTTCATGAATAACAGGCAGCTCAAACTCCTCTGGCAACCCGTATCCCGATGTAAAGTCACAAAAGGCCTTTGAGAAGGGGCTCTTGGAGAAGACGGCAAAGCAGACTGGCGATATCATCTTGTACGACAACCGGATTGTGCTCTACAAGATGGAGTCGGACGTCATGATGTACGTCGTCGGAGGTGTCGACGAGAACGAGGTTCTTCTGTACAATGTTATCCTGGCCCTCAGGGACTCCCTGCATCTGCTCTTCAAGTAAGCCAAGCTGTCCCCATCATCCCCGTTATTTCCGCAACACGCTCGGTGTGTTCTAACAGCTCTCCAGGCAATCCGTCGACAAGCGCACAATCGTCGAGAATTACGACCTTGTATCCCTCGCCATTGACGAGATCGTCGATGACGGCATCATCCTGGAGACCGACCCCACCATCATCGTCCAAAGAGTAAGCAAGGCACCGGCGCAAGACGTCGACCTTCGTCGCATCGACCTCAGCGAACAAGGTGTCAACAACCTGGCCCAGCTGGGCAAGTCGAAACTGGCCGACTGGCTGCGGCAGGGCTTGTGAGCGGCGACGGATGGTGTCGAAGGGGCAAACTGAGGCGAGAGACGAAGAGAGAAACGGCGGTTGCACAATGGGAGTTTCATGGTGGTTTCTAAAGGGGAATGCATCATTTTGAAAAAGCACATCCTTCTTGAGAGGGATTGTCATGACGAATGCTCAGATTTATGCCTGGTTCTATTTTTTGCCCAAAACAATGCTCATTCATTTAAGCACGGATTTCAGAGGCTGCCTTGCGGAGCCTGTTCATGACCGCCTCTGCTATGTCGTTCCTGTCGTCGATACCATCCACGAAGATGACGCTGGCGCCTCTCCTATCCAGATCTCTCAGTGCCGAGAAGAGCCCCTGGGCGATGCCCCTCGTGTCACCGCCCAGATCTATGTCGAGGACCTTCGCCATGGGTTTCTTCTCCGCGTCCTGCAGCTCGCCCTCCTGAACCTCATACGCCACCTCGTCCCTAGCATTCGCCTCTGCAGCCCCGTCAACGTGGACCTTAGAGACCTGGAGCGTGCCGGGGTGCAATCCTCCTGCAAACTTCCACCTGCTCGTCCGGATGATTCCAATCTTTAGCAGCGCCGGCCCTGAGCCGTTGGTGGCAATGGCATCACCGCCCTGCTGGATGAGTGCCTTCTGCAAATCCTCGGCCACGACGCCCTCAGCACCCGCCTCGCAGCTCCATTCGTAAAGCACAACCTTGGCCTTGGGGCTATAGTGCTTGTATTTCATCCCAGGCGCCCGTGGCGCTGACTTCCCCGTCTCACTCGCATCCTTGTACGCCTTGACGACGCCCTCCCACCCGGCACAGCTCCGCAGCTCCTCCATGCTCACGCCGCCGGGCCTCAGTACGACGGGCGGATCGCAGAGGCCGTCGACGACGGTACTCTCTACGCCGACCTGGCACGCCCCGCCATCCAGAATCAGCTCAATGCGGCCTTCCAAATCATGGTAAACGTGCTGCGCTGTCGTTGGAGACGGTTTGGTCGAGGCGTTGGCGGAGGGCGCGGCCAGCGGGGCGGCGGCAAGCTTGATCAGCGTCAACGCCAGCGGCGAGGACGGCATTCGCACACCGAAGCTCTCCAGCCCCGCCGTGACCTCGGGCGCGAGCTTGCTCGGCTCCGGATTCCGCAGCAGGATCGTCAGGGGGCCGGGCCAGAACTTTTCGATGAGAGGCTTGTAAATCTCTGGGATCGGGTCCGTCTCTGCCGCCGCGTCGCCGTTCATTGTTTGCCTTTCGGGCCGCAACAGGCCCCTCAGCATGTTCAGATCGCAGACGTGGGATATCAACGGGTTGTCTGACGGCCGGCCCTTGGCAGAAAAGATGCCCTTGACAGCGCCGCTCCGCGTCGCGTCGGCGCCCAGCCCGTACACCGTCTCGGTGGGGAACGCCACGGGGGTGTCTTTTGTGCGCATGTATTCCGCAGCGTCGCGCAATGCGGCTATTGATGCACCAGAGGCGGAGCTGGATATGTCCCAGTGGCTTAACCTCTCGGGGCCATCTGCGTCCCTGAAACTCCCCAACCCTTGGGCTTCGACTTTGACAACCCTGGTCTCCATCCTGTTGTTGTGATTGTCTGTCGATAACAGGCGTAGACGGTTGCGGCTGAAGATCGCGATCTGACGACTTACACGATAAGTGAGAGCCAATGTGAAGGATTGCAGAATCCGCGCCGATTTGGAGTCAAATATCGGGACAATTAAAGTTGATGGAAAGAGGGTCCAGGGTAGTTATCACGGATGTGAAAGTAAGAAAAGAGAATAATCTAGATCGTCGTCATAGGGAAGTAATGGGTATCATAAAGGTCTTCATGCAGATCGAGTGGGTGGACATTGAGTCATATGGAAAAATTTCTCTGGAAGGCTAAGGTGAGCGAGAGGTGAGCGGTAGTGCCCTTTGGCGGCGATAATCCCGAGTTGAAGGAGCTGGTAGTTAGGTACCTAGAGTAGGTACCTCCCTAGGTAGGTAGGAGATCGGTAGTGACAGAAGCCCGCTAAGTCGCCTCCCGCTGATCAGGTTCTAGTGGGGACTGATGTGGTTAGTGGAGATTTGGCTTACCTTAAAGGCACTCGCCACGTGCCAATCGCCAGGCGGTCCACAGCACGTTGAGCCAACACTTAATCCATTGTTTCGATTCTTCAAGCTTCACAGTGGTATTGCTCTTGTCAGCTTCTTTGATGTTTCACTCGACCCGAGAACCGTAATACTACTCGGAACGCTGATGGAAATAAAAAAAGGTTACCGTCTGCTGCTTAACTTCCACCTTCCTATCGAAGACATCACGCCCCTGAGCCAATTCCAAACATGCGACTGGCTACAAAGATTTTTTGGGAATCGCGTCTAGGGTCACTATTAACACGACGCCAGGCAAACTAAATTCGGACCAGAGGAGGGCTTGCAGCAGTCTGCTAGCTGTATTACAGTGTCTACCTATCCCGGCAAACGTCACCATCCTTGTCTGCGCGCTCCGGTAATCAAGTCATTTCTCATCAAGTTTTCTTTACTCCAAATACCTTGGACAAAGCTCGCCTGTTGTCATCTTATGTTCACCCCCTACGCTCTCTAGATGTCAAGTGCCTCGCCCGCCGTCGCTCTTCCTCGGTCAGCACCCAGATCATAACATCCTCCTCGTCGTCGGGCTGGGCCGAAACCTCCTCCCACTCCTCTTCTTCCATGTTCGCCACCATCAAGATCTGCGACACCCGGGCAAATAACTCCCTGACGCCATAGTTGCCCTTTGACACCGTGCTAACGATGCTGGAGAAGTCGCGCTCCATGCGAATGACACCGTAGGCGTTAGCCCGGGCATCCCATACCCTACGCTCGAGGACACGCGAGAGGTAACGCGCGGTCAGGTCGTGTAGGGTTGTGAAGGTGTGGGTCGTCAAAATCCGCGAAATGGGTTTCATGAGCTGGTCCCAACCATGCTCGAAACGCCGTGACACCTGGTCGAGCATCTCTTCCTCATCCTCGTCGTTCTGCTGGGCGATTTCGGCTAGCTCCTCATCGGAGAGAGAGTAATCCACATCGCGGAAGGTTTCGACGAGCACTGGCCTGAGGCGTGGCTGGACGACCTGTTTAAAGAGCACTTGAAGTCCCTCGTTAAGTAGCTCAGTTGATTTGGCTGTAAAAGAGCTGTGCAATGTGTTGAGGGCAGAGGTTACAAAAGCGACGTCCTTTTCGAAGGGGAATGTATCCCTAAGTAACGAGTCATGATCTTCACCGTTGGCTTTTGGCGGGTCGTTCGTGCTTCCTACGTTGCTCGTAATAATTCGGCCGAGATACTCGTTGGCCGTGTCGAGACTATTGATCAGAACAATGAATTGGATGATCTTGTCTTCTGGCGGGAACCCTCCTTGCACGACAGGTTTGGGATATGACTCGTCGCGCATCTTTCGCTGGATCATACCGATGAAATCAGAGCTGAGAACCCGACCAATAGTGGGAACAACAGACGCAATAACGTCCCGTTGCGACGTGGATATGGACTTCTGGATTACGGCATTGACGACGTACATGACATCGTCAACCGCAGAGATGATGAATGGCTGGTTTGTGTCGATGTGCTTGTTCATGTTCAGAGACAACCCGCTTGGAGTCTCGTCCAGCTGGAACGCCTTCTCAACTGATCGTCGAAAGAAGAATGTCATCATGGTATTATACGGAGATGTGAGCTTGTCTGAAACCTTTCGCTTGAGGTTGGACTTTACGACGACTTCCGGCATGGATAGCAGGGCATTTTCGGGCGATGATGGATCCTATGCAGCGTGTGAGTAGAGATATCCCGAGGTGAGGCTGCCTGTTACTGACCCGAGTCTTTCCCGCCAGGAACCGAGAGTAAAGAGACCATCGTCCGAGCATGATCGCCATCTCACTAAGAAGGGCGTCTACCTCCTTCATGTTGACGCCCTCATCCTCGCTATCGCGTTGATCTGCTCCGGCGCCCATGGCTGGCGAATTTACTCTTGACGTTCCGCCTCTCTGCTGCGGCAAGAAGCTCTGTACCAAAAACGAGAAGGGATAGCTCTTCACGTCCTTCAGCCGCCTATCAACGTCGCGCTCGTCGCTCCAAGAGTCGAGAATAATGCCTCCCTGTACGTCTGCCTCCTGTTGCAGTCGCTCAATAACACGGACCATCTTGCCAGAGCCGTAGTGCCGCTCGACTAGACCTCCATGGCCCTCCACAATCCGCGCAATGTGATCAAACAGCCTGGTAAGGGCATTGGCGTAGAAGAAGCCCTCATTTCTCGCCTGGGCCCCAGGGCTCTCCTTCAAGACGGATCTAGCTGTGCCAGCCACACCCTGGCAGACGTACCGTCCATAGACATCCAGTCCAACATCTCCTCTGCCAATAAGCGGGAAGAGCTTGAAGAACCGCGTAACCTTGGCACCATCCCCTTCCTTTGTCGCCTTTTCGAACTCTCTCAGGAACAAGCCACAGAGGCTCTCCTTGGCGGTCTCCAGCGTCGTCCATGGTGGGTCAGGAACCTCGGGGGACGGGACGATCGAGGAGGCAAATTTGCCTTTGATGATGTCTTCCGGCACCTCTGCCGCTCGTGCCAGGTACGTCGCAGCAGCTTCCCAGTCCTGCGGGGCACCCATGCTGCCTACGACGCCCTGCACGCATGCCTTAAGCTCGGCAACCTGCTTAACGACCTCAAGTGTATCCTCTACGCGGCTCTTTTCCAGGTCCAGCTCTTTCACCTTGTTGCTCAGCCGTCCTGCCGTGTCTGCCGCCGTGGAAAGCATGTCGTTGCCAATGGACCGCGCGGCAATAACCTGACTGCCAAGCCCCGCGCGCAGCAAGTCCAAGCGGCCCAGCTCGCGAGCGAGGTCGGCCTGGGAGCCGAGGAGTGCATCGAGGCGGTTCGTTATCAACGACTCGCGGGCGTGGAGAGCTTCGAGGGCAGCGCGAACCTCGGCAACGCTCGAAGCTGCATAAATGGTGCTGTTGCTGCTGCTGCTGCTGGGTCGGGCCGCAGCGCCATGTGCGCCATTGGTGGCATTGTCGCTGTCCGCGCGATGGGGGGAGACGCCATTCGTGAGGGTTGACATTGGCGCGAGCTGGCTGAAAGGTGCATAGCTACCTTGGCCTGCCAGCAGAGGTAGGGGAGTGTTGTTCGCACCGGGGTGGTTGGTGAGGTGAAGGTGTTAGCTGGCCCGAAGCGCAAGGTATGTAGGTGCCTCGGTGTACCTTTCTCACCGATAAGCGAGGTCAAGGTGTGGATGCAAGGGAGAAACAAACTTCGGACTGACGTTAACCTGCAAACTGGCCTGTTCAGAGAGTATCGGACGATGAAAAAAAAAAATGATGAAAAAAAAGGGGGCTCAGGGTCTGCAATTGATTTTTTTCCCAGTAAAAGGCCGTTAATTATCTACCGTTCTCAAAGTTTACATATACGCTAAGGGTCGGTGACTGGTACAATCCACCTGTACCTCACATGAATGATGCTTTCTGATCTACACTGCCTGACTGTAACCACTACCCATGCGCCGTCTTGAGTAGTTCCAGTACTTTCTAAACTCATCCGCCCAGAACACCGTGCTGCAAAGAACCAACAGGCCGATAAGATCGAACAATCCCAAGGCTTCCGTTTGGAAAACCTCCTGTAACCACGGGAAGTAGACCACAAGCAATTGACCCGCGATACTGAGTGAGACCGCCCAGTTAAAGAGCGTATTTGAGAAAAGCCCCACCTCGCCCCGCAACACCGACTTGGATTCGGATCGGCAGGCCAAGGCATTAAACATGTCGAATAGCACAAAGCAGGTGAAGGTCATGGTCGTATCGCGGCGGTTGACCTCGCCATCCGCAAGCATCTCCCGTCTATAGACGAGCATAGTGCCCATCATAATTATGGATGCTGATGTCAAGACTCTATAAAGGAGCTTCCTTGTGAGCACCGCGTCGTTTCGCTTGCGAGGAGGGCGGTTCATGACATCGGCATCGACAGCCTCGACGCCGAGCGACTGAGCAGGTGGGCCATCCATGATGATGTCTGTAGAGTGTAAGTTGATGCTGAGCTACCACGTTAGGCGGAAAACTTACTAATCCAAAGAATCTGCATCGCATTCAGGGGTGATTTGAAGCCGAGAATCGTGCAAAACAATACAAGAGACAGTCCAGCCGCGCTTGTGCTGAGTTGAAATGTCAGGAAGTTCTGGATGTTGTTGAATATTCCCTTGCCCTCTTCAATTGCTCGAAGTATGGTTGAGAAGTCGTCGTCTGTAAGAATCATGTCTGCTGCCTCCTTTGCAACGTCGGTTCCATGCAAGCCCATGGAGATGCCAATGTCTGCTCTCTTCAGCGCTGGGGCGTCATTGACGCCATCTCCAGTCATGGCAACGATATCACCCCTGGCCTGAAACGCTCGAATAATCTTCAGTTTATGATCCGGGTTCGTGCGAGCAAAGATCGTAGTATGCTGGATAGCATTTGCGAGCTCCTGCTCGGACATGGCCTCAACGTCCTCTCCCTTCAGCACGGGACGCACTGAGGCTTGACTAGAAGCATGCTCGATCGGCTTCGCAATTGCCATACCGAGCTGCCGGCCAATGGCCACAGCAGTTGTCTCGGCGTCACCTGTGATCATGACAACTCTGACTCCTCCGCGTAGTAATCTTCTGATCGCCTTGCCAACACCGGGCCTTGGAGGGTCGCTCATTCCGACCAAGCCAGCGAATGTGAGGCCTCTGTAAGTCTCGTACACAGACTGAGGGTTGGGACTAGTCGATGCCAGTGTGTTTCTACTCCTAGATCGCGAAACAGCGCCGCTGGCAAACGCAAGCACGCGGAGACCATTCGAGGCAATAACCTCTGCAGCTTGCAATGCTTCCTGACGGCGCGCAGAGTCGAGAACGACCTCTCGGCCATCGCGAGTAAGATAGGTGTCACATGCTTCGAGAACTCGATCAATGGAACCTTTCATGTACGCGAACTCCTTGTCGTTGGTTCCAATAG